CATTATTTCACTTTGGTTATCTAGTTTCATAGAAAAATATAATTAAAAATTTATAACTTCTAGATTCCAGAATAAGTCATAAACATTCTCTGTCACTCTAAATAACATATTTCTCAGAATTAGTTAAATAGAAAAGTCATAACTACTTTATTTTAAGTCTAAAATTCATCAAACCAGTGAGGATATTTCCCTTATAGTCTCTATTTTCATAAAAAAAATAAGAAGAATAACACAACTTATATATTTTAAAACGAAAATAAATTTCTCAGTAGCATGCACAAAACGTTACTCATACAAATAACATATTGAGAAAATCACAAGTATTTTATTTGAATTTCAATTTCTACAAACTCAGCGAGAATATTTTTCTTATGAAGTGTAATTTTTTAAAAAAATATAAATAAAATAATATTATGCATGGAATTTAAGAAGAAGAGAATTTATAGTGAGCTATTCTCCGAAAATCATTCACACACATTATAATATTCAAAATTTCATATCTATTTTGTTTCAAATTCAAATAAAATGAAACTAGTGAGAAAAGTTCCATTAATAACTCTATTTCTATACAAAAATAGAGATAAAATAACGCTACACAAAGATATTAAAACAAAATTGAATCAAGGCACACTGCTCTAAGAATACTATTTTCATGTAACAGAAACTTAGAAAAATCATGACTAATTCAATTTAAATCCAAATAAAGTAAAACTAGAGGGAAAAGTTTCAAAATCTAATTATCCACATGAATAAAATACTAACAAAAATTTTTGCGAAGATTTTCTCATATGTTACATTATTTGTAGTTTAGTCATTTTACTTTATGTTAATTGTAAAAAGGTCCTTTTCTCAATTTTTTACTAATTCTTAGATAGTTTAGAACATTTCTAATGAGTTTATGGGTCTTGAATCATGTCTCTACAAGTTCTAAAATATTCTCTTGGTTCTACCACACATGTGGTCAAGTGTCTTGCACTTTTAAGGTATATTTTGGCCTAAAATTATAGTCCATCATCATGTAAAGGTTCAATCTTTCAAATTTATTCTTAGATCTTTGTTTTCATCATATTTCTCATATAGTCCAGGGGTTCCAAATATGTTCAAGGTTTCATAGGTCCTCCTCATAGTCAATTTCCAATTCTAGTCCATTTCTTATTAAAGTTTCATATGAAAATCTTCAATAATGTCCCAAAAATGCTTTTTAACTCCAATATAATCTAAACAAAAGAAAAAAAATCATATATCTTAATTATCCTCAAATCAAATCACACAACATAGATCAAAGAAAAATTTCAAAATATACACTTAGAAATAAATTTTACAGAAAATCCATATTTCCATGATAGAAAATATACAATTTCGTAAAAAATTCCTAAAGTCCATTTAATCAATTTCAAAGCATAAATCTATATGAATATATCATGGATTCATGAAAATAACACATAGCAAACAAATTTATTAATGAATTCCATTAAAGTATTGTTTTACAGTTAATTTCAATTTTTCTGCAAAATTTCCTGTTTTTGCTATTTTAATGATTTTCTTGTGAATTCTTTTTCCAATCAATTTTTCTTTCATATGTATACTAAGGCCACGAAATTTTCATCATATAAAAAAGGTTAAAGGCTTCCTTTTGACTCAAAATTTATTTAGCAAAGTATTCCCTTAATTTATGAAATAATACTCCCCCTTTACTTAATTTTTGGTTGATCTTAGCTTGATCTTTGGAAAGTCCTCTTTCTCTCCTTCTCTTACTATTTTCCTCATCTTGAAAGTGATCTTTTACCTCCTTTGGTCTCCTTTTCCACGTAATCAAGGATTCCATCAAGAAAGTTGGTTGCTTGTGGATTTTGTGGGGTTTATTGTCTACTTTAGTACTTTTATGGTAAGTTGATGGATGATTCAACTTGGTGGAGTTCAAGAGATGAGTGTGAGACTGATTGTAGAAGTGTTTGGGGGTTACTAAAAGTTGTTAAGCGTGGAAACTCTACCTCCATTGCATGGTTGCTCCATTCTTATGTGAAATGGCACTTTACTTTGAATGGGTTTCTAAAATTTTGTCTTGGCTGAATTGTTGTGGGTGGCTTGTGACTAAATAGAGGAGTCTTAGGCAAGTATTTTTGCTTCACAAGGTGGCCTCCTTATAGTTTCCCACCTACGTTCAAATTGCTCCAAAAGTTTCAAAGCATAGTTAGCAATTTTCCAAGTCATGATGTCATGTTTTATGACTTTATACTTGTCCAATTTGATTCTAATTCTTTAGTTTGATAAGTCTAGTTTCTTTCCACTTAATTCCTCCAATTATTAGTTTCTTTAGAAAGGGTTTGATCATAATTTAATGAGAAAATTTGGCAAGGGATAATAATGTATTGACTTGAGTCAATATTCCTTCATCATTTCTTGAAAGTTTAGATGACTCAAGCTCTTTTCTTATTGGCTCTTTCTCTCTAGCTTCTTTCATGCTTCATCTACTGGTTAATTGGCTTATCTTTCAAGCCAAGAAAATGTGAAAATTGAATTGGGTTGGGTAGGTTACAAATTTTGCAAGTTTTTGACACAAAATAGGCCATTTTTCACATCATATGTGGACTATTTTTGAGAAAGTTGGTTTGAATTTTGTTCAAACCCTATTTGGTTTAATAACTTACCATGAAAATTTTAGAATTTATCTCATTCATTTGTTTGTCCAAAATAGACCTCCATTCTAAGTGTTTTTAGGAGTAGTTTGATTATTTTGGTCAAATTTTATAATTTTATTTATTTTTTATTTTTGGATCTTTCTAAACCTCTTATAAATTATATAAAACTATTTTAGATAATCTAAAATTGTTAAAAAAATATACATATTTATTTTCTTTTTATATTACTCAATTCTTTACTGATCAGACTCATTTTAGTAAAATTTGTTAAAGAAAATTTTAGTTCTAAAATCTCTATGTTCTACTTATATTTTATTCAATGAAGTTGATATAATTCAAATAAAAAAAATTTAGAGTATTACATTATCTAGTATGTTATTCTAGCAAACATAGTTAGAAACCCACTATTCATCTAATCATTGAGTGGTCTGAAGATTCAACGACTAAAATTCTAAAATAAATCCATATTAATTCTCCATATTTTTAGTGTGCTCAAGCCTCTAGAGTAGATAAACTTAAAATAAATCTAAAAAGAACTCGAAAACCTCTTATCCCTAAAAAGTAGAGACTATTATCATCCAATCTTATGTGAATTTAAAATTTGCATTTATTATAAGAAGATAATTAACAACCATGTTTTTAATTCCCAAACAGTCGACTATTATATTTGAACTAATATTTAAAATTCTAAAATGCTACGTGATTTAGTCATTGAGTGTAAGTTCTCTTCTTTCACTTAACAGTAGCTAAAACTAATATCTAAAATTCTAAAATCCCACGTGATTTAGTCATTGAGTATAAGTTCTCTTCTTTCATTCATTTAACAGTAGCTAAATTAGCTATTCTGCTTTAACTAGGGCTTAATTTGCCACAAACTATTGTTAATCGAACTTATTTCATCATCAATCTTCAATCTAACATCTAAATTTTGGTGTTTACGTATCATAATTGAGATTTATCACAAAGTGACTTGTATATATTTTATCAAACAAGTGTTTAACTAACAAAAATAAAAATGGGTTTAATGAAAATAAGATGTGAGTTGATGAAAGGATTTTCGTCACTTCAATTCGTGCAATAAATTGGTATGGTAGGACCTTTTTTTTATTCCTTTTTATCGGACTACTCCTACATGTCTATCTTTTTCATGTTCCATCCTTTCTTTTGTTTAAGTGTTACACTTCTATAAAAAGAATTATATTTTTTATACAATAAATATATTTTTCAATAATGTTTGTGATTTGATTCAATTCAATTTGGAACATACATTTTGAATCAAATAAGAAATATATAATTTTTCATTTTTTGTTTATAATAATGATTTATTCAATCTGTTGATTCAACGTTTTAGTGAGACCCCTACCCCTAGGAGGTTTGCCTTAGGAAAGGATGGGGAACAGAGTGCGAAATTGGGATGCAGAGCATTAACTGGGTCGAACCATAGCAGTCTTACAAAATATCCCCAGGTCTTACCAATTAAGCAACCTACAAAGGGATTTCTATGTTTTACTTTATCTCTTACGATGGCCCAATGTTCTATCCCTTGTGCCATTACAATTTTCGTCCTTCCCCAAAGCCCAAAATTGTGTAATATAAACGTCGTATCATTGTGCAACAATATGATTTATAAGCTCAATAATCAATCTTATTGTTCACCAGTTATGTTCGATTATTAGCCAAGCGTCCTTTAGGAATGACTAGTCCTCACTCGATGAAGGTTGCATTTAATGGAAGAAATCGTTTTAGATTTGCAAATGAAAATACAAACGAAATTAGTATGAGTAATGCTATTCTCTTTTTATTTCTATCTTTACTCATTTTATCTCACATTTTTCTCTTTGCTTCATATATCTCTTTATTGAAGAGATGTTGCGGAAATAACATGCTGCCACTATTAGTATTATCTATCATGGTCAGCAGTAAAATGATTTTTTTGGGGGGAGGGAGCACATCAAAGGTATCTTTTACCTTATATTTAACGTGCCATACCAAAAAAGGAATGAATAAATGTTCAATAACAACACCACCATGGTACTTGGTAGCAATGGTTGAGTAACAATATAATACTGGTAGCAGTGGTTTAAAATGAGTAAAATGAAGTCCATGACAAAAAGGGATGAGAAGTTGGCAAATCAAAATACAACGTAAAGTGTTATTTGAAATAATTCAATATTCTTGGATTTCATGCCAAGGAAGAAACAACGAAGCAAATGGTGAAGCTAAACAAACTAGGCACTGATTCTTTGGTTAAAGCTGGAGAAAGGTCTTTGTTCTTTTTCCTTAAGAAAGTCACATAGGCAGCAATATATTAGTCTCAGTAAGATGCCATTGCTAGTCCATGATGATCTTTCGATAAGAAAATTTACAAATGGACGCTCTAGTCAAATTCCCAACCATAGCTTCATGCAATTGGCAGGGAATGAACCCCAACATCACAAAGAAACTCACCATCAGGTTCTCCCCCAGCAAAAGAAAGTGCAACTTGCACACACACACGCACAAAATGGAGACACAACGACTCAGCATGAAGAAGAATGTCCTAAAAAAATATTGGGATAGACATAGAATTTCAGCCATAACATCAAAAGGAGACCACAATTCTCTCTCTCCAACAGAGATCGTAGATGAGTTCTACACTTGCATCAACGAGAAAGAGCTGCGACATTTGCGTGAGTACATATCCGAAGATGCTTGCTTTGATGACTATACCTTCACCGCACCATTCCAGGGGAAGACGGTATGTATCTGAACCATACGTCTTACCCACAATAAACCATGATTTCATCGAGAAAATAGTTATGCTTGTCCAAATACAACATTGCAGGAAGTAATGCGTTTCTTAGAACAGCTCACTGATGGAATGGGTCGGAATGTGAAATTCAGAGTGAGACGTGTATACGAGGGAGATGATTTACATGCTGCAGCTAACTGGCATTTGGGTCATATTCTTTTCCTTGTTTCACTAATGTTCTTGTTATTATTTAGTGTTTTATTAAGAACAAATGATCCTAGGCTTGATTACAATATGTGGTATGGTAGAATGGAAAGAGAAACAGATCCCATTCACCAGAGGTTGCAGCTTCTTCAAGTTATCAAAAGAAGGCGAAAACATAATCATTTTGTAAGTAGCAAAACGTTCAAATTCTCAAAAACAGTATTCTATTGTGTAAAACATATACTCACTGTAAAACTATGATCAGGAGAGCTGAAGTAATAATTGAATCACCAATCAAACCTGGAAGCATAGTTTTGGTAACTCCTAAATTGCAAATTGGCTCATATAAGTACTCTGATTCTTATGATTGTATATGATAATCCTATGGTATTTTTGTTTTGTCTATTTCTGGACCTGTTCAATTGGCATTCTCTTGAGAAATTCAGACCCTGTTGAAAAACTTGACTTCATTATTTGATGACTTTCCTAAAGCAACTGAGTGTAAGTCATTGTTCCTCGATTTTTCATTTCCTTTTAATCATCCTAAAATTTCCATTAATATACGTGTCTGCGTGTGTGTGTGTGTGTGTTCCTGCAGGGTTTTTGAGAAGTCCACATGTAATATTAACATGGATATTGAAAATTCATAATATATTTGTAGCACCTTTGATTAATCCACTACTAGATGGCTACATAAAGCTATGGAGCGTCTTTGTTCGATTGCTTACCTATGCAATCAATATTGTGATCTTTATTTCCAAGATTTTCTTCAAATAGAGAGAACACACACACACACTGAATAATGTATCTCATCTTACTCTCTAAATAAGAACTGTTTGTGATAGAGGGTATGATCTCACATCATTTGCCATCATCATCGGTGCCACGGTTCCACCATGTCTCTAACAACGAAAGAACTACTAAAGTTCCCATAAAAGGAGGAAGTGGTGGAGGCCTGCTAAAGTCGACTATTGGGTCAACCATCTCCTTAGTAGCAAGCCCCGTTTCGCCAGCTTCATTGTTCTCTTGTTTCCTAGGTGTTGAAGTCGCCAATATACCTGTCTCAAGGATAAAATTTTATCTAATCAATACATTTTCTTAGTAAAAAATGCCTACTCCTCAATCATACGAGAAAAATAAATACATGAACTCCGAGAATCTAAAACTTAGTCAACGTGTTCTATACAATCTTTCAAATATAGGCATCATAGACATTACACACTACCCCTTGATCCATTCATCGAGTACAATTGCCTGAATCTGCGGATTGCAGGCAAAAATAAAAGAGCAACAGGTTCACGCATGTACTCTTTAGCTACCGTTCTGCCCCTGCAATGATTGAAGGAAACAAACTTTGAATTTATGGAAGATTCCCTCACGAAACATAGTACCTTCTAGAAATGGCATTCGAGACGTAAAATGATATAATCACTAATTTTGCCTTTCAATTTAAAACTAATGTCATTTTTTTGCAACAAATATCACGATAATACTGGAGTAACTCCTTTTGATAAAGCATCATCTAGAGTTTAATTTCGAAAGAGCGAATTAGCAACTGATAACAGCACTTAGTCTGCAGAGAGAAGAGAAACGAAAATAATTGGACGAATATTAATTATTAAATGAAATGGCACACATACAATTCTTACATGCCACAAGCAAAACATGGAATATGATGGCCTATACAATAATACGATTCTTGGTGGCCATTTTAATTTATTTTAAGAAAAGACGATGAAAAATTAAAACGAGATTGGCAATAAATAAGAAGGTCTAAGCTATGCCAACACTAGTATTGCATCATATGAATAATGGCTATAATTATTAAAAACCCAACACTTTAACGATCGTATTCCCTTACATGGCGTTTATGAATACGCGAATGGACTAATATGAGTGTGTTAAGGTGACGAAAAGAGTGAACGGAAAACTTACAGTAAAGTTAAATTTGGATGGATACGAAAAGGGAATTTAAGGAGAGAGAAGCAGAGATGGGTTAATGGAAATAGATGGAATGGGATGTGAAGAAGATTAGAGTAAGTTCCAAACGAATACAGTAATATATGCTTCCGGAGGTTTCCCAACTCTCTAGTAACGTGTATGACAGGTGGCAGGATATAAATCCATATATATTTTGTTTCATTTAACACATTAATTATGATAGTTTTTTTTATTATAAATGTAAATGATAATAATTTTTTAATATTTTTTTAATTCTCTACCAAGTGCCCACTAATTAGTATTCGTTGTTGTAAAATTGATTGGTGTAGAACTTAAACATAGTAACAACAGGTTTCTCTTTTTGGTCCAAGTAACTATAGGTTATATGTGGGCTTTTCTTTTTGTTTTGAGTTTGGGCTGAAAAATTATCAGTGATATGCTGAGTCCTTCACAACATGGGTGTCAATATGGGCGTTTTAGCGGCCTATAATTTAAGATTCTTTAACTCTTTTTGGACCCCTTAATTTAAGAGAAAAAAAAGACCTACAAAGAAAATGACCCATTACCAAACCCAAAATAAGAAAAGGATTAGTAGTCCCTCGCTATCGTTCCCTTAGTTTTGGAGGTTATTACGTAATAATATTAGATTTATGATGTCTTTCTTGTAGTTTTAATTTTGTGTTGGTCTTGTACTTAGAAAAATTAAAAAATATATCTTAAGACTTTTTTTTATAAATTCTCTTATAAAAAATGTTTTCTATTTTTCATAATTGATTACTTTTTGATAAACCTAAATTAGTATTTTTATCTTGCTAACTAATATCTTACAAACTTTTTAAAATTTTTTATTATATAATTTTTTATTTTTATATTATTAATCATTCAAAATTTATTAATAATGATATAAAAAACACTTTTTAATATTAATATATATTTTTACCAAATATATTATAACTTACTTAGATAAAATAATTGTTATGTTATTTATTTAATATTTCAAAATTCACTTTATATCAATTCGATTATTAAAAAATATATATAATACCAGTTAAGTTCCTTAAATGATAGTAAACTGGTTATTTTTTTATTATTACAAATTAAAATAATATATTTTTATTATTTTAATTTTTATATAATTTTAGGAAATTAAATTGATATTAGATAAATTAATAAACAAATAAAGTACTTATTTAATTTAAAATAAAAAATTAAAGGCAAATTATTTGGCCGATATTAAAGTTTAATTTATAAAATTAATTCGTACGTATTATAGTTTTTTATATAATAACAACAATGATATTATTATTATTACTATTATTTCCTAACCTTAAAATCAGTCTCACGTCATCAAACCCTTACAATATATTAGTTTCATACTTTAAAAGCATAAAATTTATCGAAAGAGACGGAAAAAATTTATTATTGTACTTTTACATAATAGTTGTTTTCCTCGTATTTTTATTTAAAAATTTATGTTATATATTGAGAATTCTATTTTTTTTAAGAAAAAAATAAAATAAAATCATGTCTCCTAAGCTTTAATATAATACGGCAAAAGCTATATTTGAAAAAAAATCCTTATTAAACTAATATTTACAAATTTTAGTGATATACGAAAATAATTTTTACTGATTTTGTTGTTATTATTAGAATTCTTTGTAAATAGTTATAGTTTGACATTTAAAATTTTATAAAACTTAATTTAACAAAAAGTATTTTAAAGAATCATATGATGATAATCTAGTGTTATTTTAATAACAAAGATGTGGATATAAAATTATATATGGTAGTCAAGGTTTTTTTTTTTTTTTTTTTCTTTTTGTTTTCCTGTATTTGTAATTTTGTATTTTGAGGGGTTTAACTTACTAAGGATTCGAGGGGCCCACGAGATCCCTGCCAACCGGACTCTGTCTACATAGCTTTGTTCTGCTTATCTTTTTCAGAGCACTACAAGTCATCAAAGGGTCCATTTGTTATAGTTCTTAAAAATGGTTTTAGGAATCCATAATCTTGTTTTAAAGATTTTATTATAAAAAACAGATGTTTTTATTTTATTACTATAATAATAAAAAATTTATTTATATTTTATATTAAAATAACACTCAAAATAATTTTTAGATATATTTTTTTAAATTTAAAAAATTATATTAAAAAAATATTTTTATATCGGTATAAGTTTAAAAATTTTTACACATATAAAAAATTTTAAATTTATATTAGTGTAAAAAAAATTACTATATTAAATTTTTTTAAAAATTAATTGTTTTAAACTTAAAAAAAAAAAAATAAAGGAAACAAATGAGTGCTTAAAACTCATTTATCCATTGCCAGAGGAACTTGGATATTATTATTTAGGCTCAAAAGCTCATCATTCTGTCTCAACAAGTGATGCTGTAAACGAGAACGTAAAAACATGATGTTATAAACTATAAACCATAGTCTCTTTCAAAAAATAAAGAAAAAACTATGGTCAGTGCGTCTCAAATTGCATGGTTTACTTGTACTTTGCAAGTGCCGAATACTCACTTTGTACGAAAATTTCCCAAATTGGCTCTATGACGTTGATCAATGATCATCAACTTTTCTTAGACACATCGCAGGGCAGAAAATTTGAGATATATAATCCATTATTTATTGATTTCATACAAATAATAAATTATTATTTAATATATATAAAAATTGTGCGTACAAAGATTGCAATTGAAATATTAATAATTAAAATAATCATAAAATGTTTATTTTCTTTTCCCAAAAATATCTCATAAAATTAGTATAAAAATAAGCATATTAAATAAATTAGGATTTATTATGAAACCCCTAAAATAGTAATTTTTTAATAAGTTTTTAAATCAAGTGACATGTAGATTTTAAACATTAAAATAATGTTTATTAAAAATATCTACTTGTTTCTATTTAGTTTTAAAATATAATAATGAGAATGCAATAAATTTGGGCTTTTTTAATATGAAAAGAAAAAAAATTATCAAAGTTTCGGTAAAAATTAATGAAAATATGGAAAATTTTAAAAATTACTGATAGCGTTTCTTAGTACTTTGTTATTTTTAATTGTCATTAATATTTTTTTTTAAAATTATTTTTATTTTCTGAAAAATCACTATTTACAAATTTTTAAATTTTTAAAATATTTTTAAATAAATTATCATTGACAATTTAAAAATTTTATAACTTTATGTTATTCTTTTTACACTCACCAAAAATTTGAACTCGGTATTTCTATAATTTTTCTAAACGCACCGTATTTTAGTATATATAACTTTTAAATTATATATATATATATATATATATATATTTATATTAAATAATCACAAATTTGTTTTATATATAAGTATCGTCCTTTTCTTACTCTCTTTATTTTTTAAAATATCGTACTTAAAATAAAGTAACGATATGGTATTTTATTTAATAGTAACAATGAGATTTTGAAAAGATAATTATATGATGGTAATGTATATATATATATATATATATATATATATATATATATATTAAGTTTAATAATTTTTCCATAGTTATATTCCACATATAAAAACTTAAAACAAGTGTTTAAAGACTATTTTAAGTAATTTATGAATATAAAAATTTAAATTTATGAAAATTATTTAGACAATATCATATAAAAAACATTTTAAAACTGGTTAAAAAATTTAAATATATTTCAATACAATCATTAACTTAAATAACTTTAAACATTCAAACTTTATTATTTGTCAGTAGTTTTATTATGGTTTTATTATTTCATTTTATACAATAATATATTAAATTTGATCTCATATTATAGTAAGCAAAATTTCTATCTACATATAACATATGTTGTAATTAATTTGATGTTTCTTTTATCAAAATGTTTAGGCATAAATAAAATATAAATATTTTAGTAGTAAAATGTACATAACATTAAAATTTTAATAAATTTTTGTTGAGACTTGATAGAGTTTGTACTCGTCCTATGTGCTAATAATATTCATATTGTGAATACTGATTTTTGCCTCTCTCAGATTACTTCCAATTTTTTTAAAAAAAAAATAAAAATAAAATAATAAAATTGTTTTACAAAAAATAGAAAATTTTTTGAGAAAAGGGATTTGGCCTCCGGAAATAGAAATCCTGCATCAAGCAAGCCTACACTCCAATATCAAAAAACAGTCTTGAGCATGAAAAAGGAAAACTCAGAACTTTAGCATTTTGTAAAAGAAAAACCCTAAATATGAGATTGAAGGGAGTATAAAAACTCAAGTAAGGGATCTGGAATAAGGGTTTTTCTTTTCGGGGGAGAAAGGAACTAATTTTCAGAGAGAGAACAACAAAACGTTTTTTAAGAAGGAGTCTGAGTCTTAAGAAATAGGGAAAGAAGATGCAAAAATAAAAAATAAAAAGGAAAGGAAGATAGTATACCATTAACTATTACTTCACGGTTTAAATCACTGCATCGGAAAGCTTATTGCTTCTTCTTGAGTCTGCGTAAGCTCTTTTCTTCCCTTGTTTAAAAACTTGCTCTTTTTAAGCTTATTTCTTTTTGTTTGTTTTCTTACATTATGCGTAAATGTATGTTCTTGGAATAAAAGATACGTTTAAATCAACTTTTTTTCTTTTTCTTTAATTTAATATTATTTTATTAAAAACGTTGAATCTGATTTGACAGATCTGTAAAATGTGGGCATCCATGTTTAATGCAAGTCTCTTTTATCACTTTTATTTATTTATTTTATATTTATTAATATTTACTATTATTTTATTATATTGATATGATTAAACGTTGCAAAATAGCAATTCGAGAAGTCTGCCCCTACGATTAAGTAACTGTGCATTATTTGATTGACTTGATCTTACTGGTGGATTCTAATATCCTCCCATCTTTTGTAAAAAGTAAGATAAAATTGTCTTTTTCAAAAGTTTTCAAATATTTTGAACTGTTGATCAAAATCAGATGGTTAAAAATAAAAGATAGGAAACCGATTTTACAAGTTACATTTAAGAAGGATATATTAGTAATTTCCTTTCTTTCTCATTCAGATCTTCTTCTTTGTCTTCTCCCTTGTTGTCTTCTTCTTTTTTTTCTTCGGCATTAATAACATAGCTCAGACTCAGAAAAAATATTAAAAAACACTAAAAAAATTAAAAGCATAAATTAATATTCTGGAGGTGCTTCAGCAAGTTCTAATCCTTATTTATGTTCTATAATAAAAGGACACATATGTCAAAATATGGTAAATATGAATTTATCAAGAATCTTTATTGAATATGTTTATATTCTCTTTTTATCCTTGAAATACGGCACAATTGCTTAAGAAAATCAAGACTTGGTCAAAAATCTGTGTCAAAAATTGCAACAAACTTATAGTCTTTCACATAGTCACAGGAATCAGCTGCTTTAGAACATAGCCGGAAAAAAGTGCGTACAGGAGAAGTGCAGGCTTCGAGGTGGTTGCTCGTGAAGAGGACTGGATGAAGGATAATCCCAAATCGAAGGCTCCTGAACAGACTTCAAAGTCAGAGGTGGGGTGATGAAGACTCAGAGGGGGAAGATGAGGAGGATTGGTGGAGCAATGAGGGTGGAGAATGGAATGAAGGTGGAGAAGACACCGATGGGGCCAAACATTGTTATACTACCTGTATTTCTAGATCGGTTCTGTAGAGGAACTCATGTAAAAAGCTAATATCAATGTTTTACATCGGTTATATGAAGGAACTGATGTAAAAAGTTAACGTAACTACTTTTACATCAGTCCTAAGAGAAAACCTATGTAGAAAGTTAATATCTCAACACTTTTTACATCGGTTATATAAAGGAACTGATGTAGAAAGTTAACATAATTACTTTTACATCAGTCCTACTAGAAAACTTATGTAAAATGTTGACTACTAGTTCTACGATGAGTCTCTATCCTCAACAGCTGACTTTGTAGCTTTCTTTGGTCAACTATCAGATGAGTACCAAGAAAATATACTCTTGACAGGATTCAGCACTGATCCAAATGACTCAGGTAAGCTTTCCCGAGAGATCTTCATTGAGGCTGCCACCGACCTCATCAATACCGGTTCACTTCGTGGCATTTTTGTTTGGGACGCTAATGACTCTGCAGCTGCTGATGACCCTTTCTTCTTTGAGATCAAGGCTCAAGATCTCCTCGTTGGCTCCGATTCCAAATAAAATTTTAATCCTTGTCACTTTCGTTTCCATCTCATGGGTCAAGTAATATAATAATTTTAAATAAGACCTGCTGTATCTGCTGTTGGAGGTTAAAAGGAAAGGAGAGGGATAAGAATTGAGGAGCTCTGGATAGACAAAAAAGAAAGAGATAAAGGAAAAATAACATTTACCTATTTACCCTTTATTAATATGTTATTATCCAAAATAGTCACATGCTACTTTCGATTATTAACTTTTTCACCTATCAATCTTAACCATTCATTTTTTATCTACAAATATCAACAGCTTAATGTTAATTTCACTTTACTTATTGAAAAACATTATTTTTACTTTTTGTAAAAGAAGAGAGGATATTAAAAGCCGCCGATCTTACTTTAGTTATTTTATTATTTTTTATGCCGTTTAGTTATAGGGCATTGTTATTGGGTAGGTTTGATTTTTGATTTTTCTTTTTTTTAGTTTGTCTAGACCTATTTGTATCTTTTCATTTTTATTTTTATTTTTTTTCTTTCTTTTCCTTTTTTTTTCTTTTTTTTTCTTCTTCCAACCTTTAATTTTACTTATTTGTTATCTAATTTTATTTATTCTGTTTTATGTTTAATAAAATACCTTTCAATTTAAATCTTTAGATTTTATTTATATTTTTTTAAGCAATAATAATTAGAACAATTGTGATAAAATTATTCAAATTGATTAAACATATATTTTTTATATTATATGTAAATTGTATTTTTATTTGTAAAATTTATTTTATTTTAACATTAGCAATACATTCTTTTTAATATTTTTTATGCTATTTCATTATTTATGTTTTAATTATTATTTTGATTATTTACCTCCTAATATTGAGTATTGATGTAATTTAAATTTATATTTGTGATTTATTTCTTTTAATGCAATGAATAAATAATATAATAATATCAATTTATAATACTAACGTATAGCTTCTCTATCATCATGTATTATAAATTGATAAAATCTATGTGTACCAATGTTACCTTAGGTCTTATGCAATTTAAATTTATCAAATAAAATTTTAATTTTTTTATTAAATAGCTATTTTCTTTAATCAATTTAAATATATTTATTCTTTTCATCGAATGGAATTAATTTCGTATTATAATTTTTCTTCTTAATATTTCAAGATTTGATGAATTAAATAACTAAATATTTCTTTGCTTATTTATACAAATATCGATGTGTGATGTACATTGTCTTCGATTGTGCAACAAATTATAAGAAGATTTATGTATAGCTTACGCTATCTTAAATTTTCTTTCACATCAAAAGTAAAATTCAAATACTTTGTTCATTAATAAAATATTTTAACGATTTACAATATAGTTGTGTGATCTTTTTTCACTTTCTATGTTGTTTCTCGTGGGGTACATGTATAACCGCGTTATCTTGTATCCTAAATTTTATAACTTTACCAAAATAATTTTAATCTCAAAATAAATCTCTTTTACTAAACTTATTTTAATTAACCAACTTCATAATTTTTTTAGATAAAACTACGTGACTTTGAGTTCCCCATTGCACCCGGGGATACGTAGGAGCGGGAACCGAACTCGTCAAGTCAAAATAATTTTTAAAATAATTCAAAATAATATTTCAATAAATAATATTTCTTCTTTTAAAATAAAACAATTAATGTTTAAGGGTTAAATAAATATTTTTCAAAATTAGAATGAATTTGCACAATTAATTTTAGGTAACCGTTTTTAAACGGATGTTGTAGGGTGTTAATACCTTCCCTACACGTAAATGACTCTCGAACTCATTTTTGGTTTCAAATATCGTATTATATTTAAGTTTTTTAAAAGTTTTTCTTAAAATAAACTTTGGTGGCGACTCCTCTGATATATTTAAAAAAGTTTTTCACCGTACCGTTGCGACCGCCTGGTTGCGACACATATAAAAATTAATTATTGTTAAAAAAACATACAAAATTAAGTTTAAATATTTAATATTCAACTTGAGTTTAAATTCGTCTTCATGAAGATATATTAGACAGAACAAAAAAAAAAAAAAGAAATTTCGTACAAGAGATTCACCATTTTTTTTATATACAAAAATCTGGAAATCATGTGATATTATTTGTATAGTTTTTTTCATTCTCTCTAAACATTAAATTGTTATTTTCCTAAGTAAAGAGTAAATTTTTATATTTTCAAAAAAATTGTAAATCCTTCTCTCTTCTCGAATGATGGCATATTTGACGTCAATTTTTGTTTGAACATAACCATGGAATTATCCACCTCGGCATTGAGGACAATAGATAAATGTGGGTCTAAATTATAGATGAAACCCTACTTGATATTTGCCACTTAACCTACCACGACTCCGCTTCAATCACGATTCACGAAGCTTCAACTTTAATGCTGTTCCTCTTACCCTTTAACGATGATTAATGATAATTATTTTGTTTGATCTCTAAATCATATGTGTATATATAATTAAAGAATAATTAAGCGCGCAGCAATATATATATTTAACTCCATTAAGGATGCAAAGCCGCCAAAACCAAAACCATTTTTACGGTAGAGTCGACAGTGTCACATTTGAGAAGTTTGAACTTCTGAGTATACAGTAAAACAGCAATATCATTGTTTATATGAAAAAAATATTTATGAGATTTTTTTTTTAATAGCATTCACTGGGAGACAATAAATTAACCAAATATATATATATATATATATATATATATATATATATATATATACACTTGATTTATGCATTTCACTCTACAGAAATGAACCAAATATATAGTATGCACATTCATTGGTATGAGCTAGTATGGTTATTGGCGTACAATTAGATGGAGTGATGATAACTTTAGCTGAACTCTACTTAATATAATTTATGAAGTGAAATAAATTAAGTAATATTAGTAAAATCATTTTATTCACAACTTGTACAACTGTATTATGTATCGATTTCGACAACATCTAATTGGAAAAAAACTTAGATATAAGTTGCTTATATATAGTGCAAAATTATAAATATATTGAACTGATTAAATAATTGAAGGAAAAAGTCCTATAACATTATAATTAATGAGCAATTTTCATATATTTAGTGCACTATTAGTGCATAGCTAGTTCTGATGCATTACTTTAATAAATAAATAAATTAATTAATGAATAATATCTCCTTTCCAAACATTTGATCCTTTCGGCTAAAGGGGAAAAGAAAAATAAAAAAAAAGCTTTCATTTTCTCTCTCTCTCTTTCCCCCTTGTAAGAAAAGCATCTTTAATATCTTGTATAAATGATTAAAGCAGTAATAAAAGTCCTACTTTCATCCGATAATTATATTCAACAAGGAAATATATTGCCATGGAAAAAACCAATTCACTCGTGTGTTAGGCTTGCTTGAAGTTCTACATTATTTCGTAACTCACGTCTCATCCCACTTAATCTTTTTAGCGAGGGAACGTATAACTACATAATTAGCACCAGTTAACCACCCTTTAAAATTTATGAAGACAATAATGACCGATTAGGTGTAGTGCATTATCACCACCATTTTACTATATTAAATAAACTATTTGCATACTTTGCTTATTGAATCAAACAACAAAACCATCCTGTTTATATAGATATATATACTCATCTAGGGTTAATGTTATCAGTGAAATATTGGTTAGACTTGCAGTTAATAGCATAGATCTTGGAGAGAACCGTGTGCATCATGAGTAGAGGTGAAAGCTCTGGCGGTGGACACAGCTCTTTGGGGTACCTATTTGGGTCAGAAGAGCAGCCAAGTCAGCCTCTACCCACAAAGACAGTTTCGTTACCACCCTATGGCATTGACATCGACAACGGTATGTCCCAACACGGTGTTGCTCCTCCTACTACCCAAGTTGTTGTCTCAAACAACCGATCTCAAGGCCAGCACTTGGGAAACGTTGTAACTGTAAGCTTCCATGACTATATTTGATATTAATTTAATTATGATTGATATTCACATCATCAATCTTTTCCAACCTTGCCAACCATCTTAATTAATTAGTTAATTCATTATTCTCAATATTTAGTTTTTTAAAATATGCTTCAGGATCGTCCGTCAACAAAAGTCAAATCGGTTCCTGGAGGACACTCATCGCTTGGATACTTGTTTGGAGATAAGTGAAATATCTTTCTCCGACATTCATTTGGTGCTTCTGAAAAGGAGCATTGATACTTATTGCAGCTATATATCTGTGGGGTTTGTGTAAATCACTTATAATTTCATTTCAGAATGAAAAAAAAAAAAAACGACACATAAAAAGGGATTGAATTTTACTTACGTGTTGGATTAGCAAGTATCATATAAAGTCTAAACGCCAAATTAAATCCGAGTGTCAGTCGTATATTACTTCCATGGGAAAAAAAATTTGTGTGCGCTTTCTCTGGTAGTTTAATCAGGTTGAATTGAATGTTAAGTATTTTCTTGTTATTTTATTTGTACCTCCAACAACTATAATAGAAGTTGTGTAATTTCCTTTAAGTTTTGTGTTGATTGGCTTACTTCTAACATTCCTTATATTTTAAATTCAGTTGGCCCGGAATTTTTTTTAAGCACCCGATACATTAATTAAATTGTAAGAGCAAGCTGGAGAATCATTCCTAATCATAGCTTTCTGATTTTAATAACAGCCTGATTTTAATTCCATACTTTTAGTTTTATGTTTTGATGATGATCAGGTTTGTTCTAATTACTTATATGTTGGTCAAGATAGTATTCAAAGAAAGACAATTATAGGTGATCTAATTAATAAATTGATTGGTTTATTCTTCTTCTTGATACAATTTCCTTTTTCTTCTTCAGCTTTTCTCCCCTATTCCATAATTCAGAAAGGCAAAAGGGTATGCTGGACACACACACACACACGCACACTTTCTCTTTCCCTCGAGATCATACGTATTCTATTTGCATATAAAGTATTTATTCCGTTTTTGCTTAACCCTTCCTTGTGGATAGTGGTTATTGATTGAACGCTTTGTGTCCAACTGAAGGTTATAAATACTTATCAAAGCAATTTTTGCATGTTGGTGGTTTCATATAAATATGGATTTTCATATATAACAGTTTTGTACTTTTAGATAAACATATTTATATTGATTAATTTTCTTGTTTACCAAAATATCTCTTGATTAATATTCATAAAATTGAGGATATTACGTAACTATGTACAACTTGGTATACTCTTGGACAATTATGTTGTAATTACTTCTAAAGTTAAAATGAGTTTTGTAGGAGAAAAGTACAGCTCCTACTTCACCATAAGAAGGAGTTACGTGTAATTAAAGATTACATAATTTAGATGCTATGTTTGTCTTTATTAATATAAATTTTAATTTTTTTAATAAGATCAATTTTTAATATAAATACATGAATTTATTAATATTTATATTACTAACTTGTTAAATTAAGAAATAATTTAATGTCTTTTTACTATTAGTATAAGATATTTTTTTTGGTAATGCTCGTGACACGGGATAGTTATACAGTTCATGAAGGAGAAAGGTAATCACTCATCATTAATGGCCAGTGCTATTTTACATGCATATGCTTTTGATAATACACGGCCGCGCTCACCCATATTTTCGATCCAAACTTTTGTTCTATTGTGCTTGACATGAAAATAAAATTAGGAAGATGCAAATGCAGGTGAGTGCATACATGCATGGGCTAGAATCTGCAACTTTACTAGCCAATAAACAATTTGGTAAAGGGAAAGCTGGTTTAATCTGTGATTGATTAACAGAAAATTATTTGAACTCATAATAATAGCTAGGGCACTAGCACTAGGAAGTTTTATGCTGTGTGGATTAGACTCCTCCAACTTCAAATAAAACAAAATAAGTAGTGACCTACCAATTACCATGAATGGACCAAGCTTCAGGAAAAAATATCAGAGAAGGTGATGAGATTGCACGTTTCCTAGTCTGCATCAGTGCATCATGTCATAGTGATAGATAGATAGTAGACAATAGCCTAGTGGGCAATGTCACTTCAGTCATATGTCGGGTTGGGAAGTCATTTATTTGCAGTGTCTCTTCAGGCATATGTCGGGTTGGGTCACATGTACGTAAAAAATCATTGACATTTCTCAAAGAAATTAATTGAAAGATTCAGAAATTTCCTTTAATTTTAAATTACAGTTTTATTGTTTTCTTTTCCTGTGCATCTATCCTTTCTCTTCTGTCCATAATAATACATACGTGGTAACATGGTATGCGTTCTGATGCATATTATCATTCATTAATCAACGAATAGGGATCTCTTGCAGTTATAAGATATTACAAAAATCACAACGTTTGAAGATGTGGTTTTGTTGTTTATAGGCCGTGTTTCCATTATAGATTCATAAACTATGATAATTTTTTCTTTTCTTTTTCTTTTCTCCATTGATTTTCTGTAACTTCCGAAAAGTTGAAGAAGGGTTAGGATTTATTGCAGTTTTCATAGGATCCTATCCTCCATCAAGCGTGAATCATAGTCAGTTTATGGCTCTTCAGCCTTTTTGCGGTTGTAACTTACATCACTTAACAATTACTGTCTTGTCATAATCCATTGCAATTAATGTTGCTTCTGTGTTCGTTTAGTTTATCGGCTTTGATGTTAGAAGTAATTCTAAATAATAGATAGATTAGTTAAATAAGTCAATTCAACATTTTATCATTCTTATCTATTAGTTTGTTTTAATTGTTTCTGGTATGCTATAAATACCAACCTTTTGTAAAAGATGAAATATACAAAATATATTCTCTCTCACTTTTCCTTTCTCTATTATTGCATTTTGTGAGTGTGTTTAAGTTTTTGCTCTTGCTTCAACAAAATTGGTATCCAGAGCCAAGGTTTCGATTGAGGGATCTTTGCGACACATACAATGGGATTAACTGGCGCGAATTTCTCAGCAAATTTTCCCGTTCTCAATGGAAAGAACTGGGATCAGTGGCGTATGCAGATGAAGGCGATTCTGAGCTATCAATAAGTAGCAGAAATTGTTGAAGAAGGTTATCCAACGCTCACTGAAGATTCCATAGAAGGACAGAAGGCGCTTCACAAAGAAAATAAGAAGAAATATTGTAAAGCAATGTTTTTGGTTCATTAATGTGTTGATGAGGCGCACTTTGAGAAGATTACAGGCGCTGCAACTTTGCGAGAAGCATGGAAGATCCTAGAGAAATGCAGTGAAGGTGCAGAGCAATTAAAGAAGGTGAGATTACAGACGATGAGACGTCAATACAAATTAATGTAAATGGAGAATAATGAAAAGATAGCTGAATTCTTCAATAGAATCATCACTCACACGAATGCCATGAAGAATTATGGTGAGAAAATCTCAAATCAAACAATTGTAGAAAAGATTTTGAGAACGCTCAGTCCCAAATTCGACCACATTGTTGTAGCGATTGAAGAATCCAAGAAGATCGAAGAATTGAAGGTAGAAGAACTTCAAGGTTCTCTCGAGGCACATGAGCAGAGACTCATTGAAAGAGGTTCAGAGAAGCCTGGTGAACATCAAGCACTGCAGGCTCAAACCTCAAGAAGAGGACGTTACAAAGGAAAATTCAGAGGTCGAGGTCAAGGTCGTGGGAGAGATGCCAGAGATGGCTTTGAAAAAAATGTTGAAAGCCAAGAAAGAGGAAAGATTGATCAAGATCAACAAGAAAGTTCTAATAAAAGAGGAAACTTTAATAATTGGCGAGGAGGAAGAAAAAAAATTGATAGGAAAAGGATCAAATGCTTCAATTGTAATCGAATTGGACACTTTTCTACAGAATGTACAACCCAGCAAGTCACGCAGATCATCAAGGAAGTCAGTCACACGAAGATTATCATGCACACATGGTTAAAGAAGAGAATGAAGCGAACTCCAAGGAACAACCTTTGATGCTAATGATAATCACCAATTTAGAATCTTATAACAATGAAGTATGGTACATAGATTCTGGATGTTCCAATTATATGACTGGGCATTAAGATTGGATTGTCAATTTTACCCAAAGAAGAAAAGTACTGTGAAATTTGCAGACAATAGAGCCACTCAGGCTGAAGGTTCTAGAAATGTTCTAGTCAAAAGAGAAGATGGAAGCCAAGCAGTGATTACAGATGTTTTATATATTCCTGGAATGACCACTAACTTGATTAGTTTGGGTAAGCTCTTGGAGAAAGGATGTTCAGTGAATTCAGTTAAAGATTTTCTAGAGATTCATGACAAAGCAAAGAGACTGGTGATGAAAGCTCCATTGGCCAAGAACAGAACCTTCAAGGTAAGCTTAAACACTATTGAATCTCAGTGTCTTTTCGCTGCTACTTTGTCAGATGATTCATGGTTTTGGCATCTTAGACTTGGCTATTTAAATTTTAGAGATATGAATCTCCTAAAATCTAAAGAAATGTTAACTGGTCTTCCTTCAATTAAAATTTCTAAGAAGATATGTGACACTTGCTTAATGAGCAAACAACCCAGGAATTCCTTCAGCAATTTTACTACTTTTAAGGCCAATGAAATACTGCATGTTGTTTACTCAGATGTCTATGGACCTTTTGACACTTCATCATTAGGAGAAAATAGATATTTTGTCTCTTTTGTTGATGATAGAAGCAGGAAAGTGTGGCTTTACCTAATTAAAGTCAAGAGTGAAGTGTTCAATATTTTTAAAGATTTCAAAGTTCTTGTTGAAAAGAAATCTGGAAAGTACATTAAAATTCTGATAACAGATGGCGAAGGTGAATTCACATATGGAGAACTTGAAAATCTGTGTAAAGAACATGGTATAGTTCATGAGGTAACTGCTACATACACTCCTCAACACAATGGCATTGTAGAAAGAAGGAATAGGACAATCTTGAACATGGTTAGAAGCATGCTTAAAGAGTAGAATCTTCCTCACAGTTTCTGGGGTGAAACAGCTATGACAGCTGTATATATTCTGAATAGGTGTTCAACCAAGAGGCTTGACTCTATGGTTCCAGAAGAAGCTTGGTCAGGAAGCAAACCTTCAGTCAAACATTTCAGAATTTTTGGATCTTTATGTTATAGGCATGTTCCTTATCAAAGGAGAAAGAAGTTGGATGACAAGAGTGAGCCAATGATTTTTGTTGGATGCAGTTCTACTGGTTCATACAAGCTATATAATCCAAAGATTCAGCAAGTTCTGTTCAGTAGAGATGTCTACTTTGATGAATTAAGCTCATGGGGAGAATTTCAATCTACTTCTGAGACAATAGAGAAGATTCAGCTTGAATGGAATGATGATCTAGTAAGAGAAATACATCCAGAAGTGATTAATAATAAACCTCAGGTGGAAGTTGATAGATTTACAAGAGTCAAAAGTTTTCCCTTGAGACTCAGAGATTATCAGATTTACTCTGATAGTGTAATTATTGATGATGGTGATTTGATTCAGCATATGACACTTATGGCAGACATGGAAACTATTACTTTTGAGGAAGCTGTCTCTAAGGAAGTATGGAGATCAACAATGAAGGAAGAATTGAAGAGCATTGAAAAAAATGATACATGTGAAATGGTAAATTTACCTTAGAACAAAAAGCCTATTGCTATTAAATGGGTTTTTAAAACTAAACTCAAGCCTGATGGAACGATTGCCAAACATAAAGCCAGGTTGGTGGCTAAAGGATTCGTGCAGAAGGAAGGCTTAGACTATACTGAAGTATTTGCTCCAGTAGCAAGATTAGAGACTGCAAGATTGATTGTTTCACTGGCTAGTTGGAGAAATTGGAAACTATGGCAACTAGATGTCAAGTCAGCCTTTCTAAATGGGCCACTTGATAAAGAAGTATTTGTCGTACAACCTCTTGGCATCATATGTAACGGTAAAGAACAGAAGGTTTTGAGACTGAAGAAAGCCCTGTATGGCTTAAAACAAGCACCTAGGGCATGTAACAAAAGAATTGATTCTTTTCTCACTGCTTTTGGTTTTCAGAAATGCTCAGTTGAGCATGGTGTGTATATCAAAACAGTAGGTGAAACTGAGATTTTGATGTTGTGCTTGTATGTTGACAATTTACTTATCACTGGTAATAGTTTAAATGTCATTGAATCACTCAAGCAAGGATTGAAGAGTGAATTTGAGATGACTGGTCTAGGTATTCTATCTTATTTTCTGGGAATGGAGTTCGCTACACTGAGAGAGGCATTCTCATGCATCAAAGAAAGTATATTTCTGAAGTCCTGAAGAAATTTAAAATGATGGGTTGTAAACCAGTAGAGACTCCAGCTGAATTGAATGTGAAACTTGTGAAGAGTGAAGATGAGGGCTCTGTTAATAAAACTATGTTCAGGCATATTGTTGGTAGCCCGAGATTTATTTGTCACAGCAGGCCAGAAATAGCCTTTAGTGTTGGTTTGGTCAGCAGGTTGATGAATGATCCTAGACAATCACACTTGACTGCAGCTAAAAGAATCATGAGGTATCTTAGAGGAACACTCGAATATGACATTTTGTTTCCTCATCACACCAAGGGAGATGATAGTCTACACCTTGTAGCCTATTCTGATTCTGACTGGTGTGGTGATCTGGTTGATAGAAGGAGTACCATGGGGCAAGTGTTCCTATTGTCAGGATCTCCTATATCCTAGAATTCTAAAAAGCAAACAGTAGTAGTGTTGTCTACTTGTGAGGCTGAATACATTGCTGCTTGTGCAACTGCCTATCAAGCTTTATGGTTATCCTCTTTACTCAAAGAATTGAAGGTGTTTATTGGTGAGGCAGTGGATTTGTTGGTAGATAGCAAATCAACAATTGATTCGGCTAAGAATCCTGTGTCACACGGTAGGAGCAAACACATAGACACCAAATTCCATTTCCTCAGAGATCAAGTAAGTCAGGGAAATATTAGACTACAGTACTACAGAACTAAGAAACAACTTGCTGACATTATGACCAAGTCTTTGAAGAGTGAAAAGTTCAAAGAGTTAAGAGAATTTTTGAATGTTGTTAGTTTGTAATTGGTTTGAATCAAGGGGAGGTGTTAGAAGTAATTCTAACCAATAGATAAGATTAGTTGAATAAGTCAATTCAACATTTTATCATTCCTAACTATCAGTTTGTTTTAGTTGTTTCTGGTATGCTATAAATACCAACCTTTCATAAAAGATGAAATATACAGAATACATTCTCTTTCACTTTTCCTCTCTCTATTATTACATTTCGTGAGTTTGTTTAAGTTTTTGCTCTTGCTCCAACATTTGCTTTCGAACAATTATATACGATGAGGATAATTAATGAAACAGACATAAACTAAAGAGAAGGAGACGACATAAATACATGAATAGGATAAAATAAGATATGCTAACTCCTGTCTTTAAGATATAAATAAAAAAATTAATAAAACTATTAATAATTATTTTATTTTTAATGTATTTTATTATATTAAATAAATATATATTTTTTTAATTCTAATGTTCTTCGAGTACTGTTCAACAAGATGCGTTAAACAATGCTAGATACTAAACTTAATAAAAAAATATTTTTTAATAAACTAAATTTTATTAATTTAATCATTCATTTTTAAATTAAAATAAATTAGATCAAATTTATAATTTTACTTAGTTTAAAAATTAACTGATATTTTAGTAATTGTTTTTATTTTAACATATAATATATTGTTTAATTTATAAATAAGTACTATTAGATTATACATTTATAATCGTCTAAATATATTGATAATATTATCTAAACTAACTATTAAATTGATAAACTTTACTTTAATAAAAACTTTGTTAAACATATCATTTTATTAAGTTTAATACCATATATTACTTGATTTTGTTTACATGAATATGTATGAGTAAAAAAAGAGAAAGTATTGTCTATACATTTACTATTTTTTTAAACATTTTAGATAAAAAATAATAATATAATAACTTTTAATCAAACACTAAAATCCATAAAATAATCAAATAATATAATTCATTCAAAATTATAATGTATTTACTATTTGGTCAGGAGAAAGTATTTGTATTTTTAAACCCGCCCCAATCTCTCCATTTAAATGTTATGTTGAACATGACCCAAACTTGATTAATGGCCTGATTATTTATGCGTTTAAACCTTCCAAATTTCTTCTCTCGACAGGGAAAATAAATGGCCTCCGTTTAATCAAGATTTTTACGTTATTAGGATTTGTAATTCTCCCATAAAAAGAAAATTAAGTTTTTCCTATCAAAGCTAGGATGGGGTTAGTAAACATTGATACAAATTTTATGCCGTATCTACTAAATTACTAATCATAAATTTTAAGGATTCTCTTTTTCATGTACGAATATGTTTTTTCTCCTAGACACCCAAAAGTCCCAACAAACAATGATTTACGCTTTTGACGCAAAAGAATGCCACAACACATGAAAAGGGATTGCTATAATAAATTTGCCTCATCCCAAAAAGGACTGTTGTGTAATCAAGTTTAGCTGTTCTCACCATAGCATACTCTCACCAAACAGATACAGTTGCCTTTGGTTTTGAGATTAGATGGTATATATGGTGCCATGAATCCGTATGTCCATTATAACCATAGAAGCAGCAAAGATGGCCAAAGTAGTTTCATGGCAGTGCAACATAGTCAATTTACTCCCCATTTTTGCTACATAGTTGCTCCACCAGGCCCTGACTCCTATTCCTCGATAAGGAAACTTCCACTTAATACAACAGCTTTTATAACTAGTATGAATGCTGTAACTAGATTTCTAATGACTGCTCATTTTCCTTTGTATCTTAGATGCTTTAGGACAAAATTACAATAAAGGAACTTTCTGTGCCTAGCAACTTATCTAAATAATGATGGACACGCATTGTATGTATTTAAGGCCAAAGAACTTTTATCTTGATTCATTTATACCAATAACAAGGAATTACTGTCCGGGTAAATCTGGATTGTACTTCACCGATTCCCTCCAGATGAGCTCCTTGATGTGCTCTCCAGTGCATGTTGGCTGCTCAAAATCAAAACTGAATGGCGTAGAACCAACTGGTTCATCATTGATATCATGAAGTGAGGAAAGATATGGGTGACATAGTGCTTCATCAACTGGCGCAGAAAAATAAAAACACTACATAAATACTTTTTAAAAAATGAGAGAAATCACGCATAATAAGCAAATTATAAATCCAAACGGGAAATGTAATGCTTCTTGTACACCTGTAATGCGCCTGTTGGGATCAAAGATAAGCATCTTTTCTAGTAGATCCAATGCCTCAGGAGACATATTTGGGAATCTGGCAGAGAAATTTTGCTTCCTGTATTGTGGAAGCTGTCTAACATATCTTCTTGCATTTTCACTTCGCAGAAATCCAAGGCTGGCATCGTCAGGTGAACCTATTAACTTTTAAGCAAAAGGCACACAGTACGCGTGTTTGGTGTTACAACTTATAGCAATCAATTTATAAGTAACTAAAAAATTCAGCTTATATGCAATCCTTCTGTTTTTTAACAATAACAACATTGAAGATGGATGCGTAATAAAATACAGTATAATATCCTTTTGCTATTCCCCGGTGTAGAAGGGGAAGAAAGGTTGGTTAGGGATTATAGGAATTGGTGCAATGCAACATAATACGTTGGTATACAAGTCAAACCACGATAATGCCGAAGGCATTGGCTTATCATATCATAAATAGTGATATTTGCCAGTTATCAAGAACAGCAAATTAGCAATAGCTGGAATTAAAAGGTAAACATGAAACAAGAAGAATTGAAAGTTTAAGAATCCTGGATTTGCACTTCATTAAAGTGAAGGGTGTCAATTCTGGACAAATGTAGGACATTCTATTTCAAGGCGATTAATCAGAGCATGAAAACCTCACATAGAATTCAATTAGTCAAGGTAATTATCTAGCTAATAATAAGCAGTGACAAGAGTAGGGATTAAAAAACAAGAGGAGTAACAAAAATAAAACCGATGGTTTTTTGTTTCATCTTTCAAGTAGCCTCAGCTGGGGGTATTAAGCATGTTGGGAAGGTCAAAGGGAGTTATGTTTCTCTTACGACAAAATCTTTCCATTAGAAACAGGGTTCATAAGTGTAAATCACTTTCTTAAGAAGGATGAGAAATTTACAGAACAACAAGCAATAAACTAATGCAAGAGTGAGTTGAGTAATGCAATACATTTCCAGAATGCTTCAGCAGCCCATAATTTCAAATTGAAGCACCAAATCCATACCTCCGTTATAAGCCTTAGTTGATGAACATAATCTTTCCCAGGAAACAAGGGTTCTCTGGTCATAATTTCCCCAAATATGCATCCAACAGACCAAACATCAATGGCAGAGGTGTACTCTGAACAATTAAGGAGCAACTCGGGGGCTCGGTACCATCGAGTGACAACATACTCTGTCATGAAATCTGCCTCAGACGTCGTCCTCGCCAAACCAAAGTCCCCAATTTTCAGGTCACAATTCGAATTCAAAAGTAAATTACTAGGTTTAAGATCGCGGTGCAAGACATTGGCTGAATGCACATATTTCAGCCCCCGTAACAGCTGATATAAAAAGTACTGCACGAAAACATTCAATACCATGCGTAGTTTCAAACGAAAAACACAAGTCAAAACTAACACCCCTTAAATGAAATTGAGTTCATTCATTTCTCCCTCCCATCATAATAAAGAACCAGTTTTTCTAAAGTGTGTGCCCATAAACTATGTATAATAACTTTTTATTAAAAATCACACAATATTACAAAGTTTAATATATTCATCTTATAAAAATTTACTATTTGGTTATTTTATAAAAAAAAACTATTTATTAATTCATATGGTGTGTCTTTGTGCCATTTAAAAAAACCGATAAGGAAAATAGATTAATCACTTGAGAGTTAAAAATACCTGACAATGGTCACCGTTAAGTGGTTGGTCAGAACGAATTATCTGATGAAGATCAGTGTCCATCAATTCATAAACAATGTAAACATCATTGAAGGTATCCTTTCTGGGAGGTCGTATGATATCCTTAATGGCAATGATCTACAAAAGAACAGCATACACAGGGATTTACAACCAGACATAAGAAATTTAATTTGAAAAAGACAAGCTATATTAGATATTACATTTTCATGGTCCAAGTGGCGAAGGAGTTTAATTTCCCTCAAAGTCCGTTTAGCGTCAATGATGTTGTCAAACGCGTTACCAATCTTCTTTATGGCAACTTCCTCGTGCGTATCGGAATTAACGGCAGAACTGAAAAGAAAGAACACAGTGAGGTTAGGTTATTGAAGTAAGAAAGAAGAAGATATAAAGCACAAACATACCAAACGATGCCGTATGCGCCTCTTCCGATAGGGCGAATGGGAGGAACGTACTTGGAAGAGACCTCGAACAAGTTTCCATAAACATTGTATTGCACGTATCTACCTCCATGAGTATGAACCCTCTTTAATGACTCTTTCTCTTTGCTACCCATCTTCAATCCACGATCTTCTTTCTCTGTAATGATTCTTTTAGTTACCAATTTCAATTCCTTTTTATACGATGCAATGCTATGCTATATCCATTATGAGAAGCAGACTCTTTCAATTTTTCAATAATTAAATCATCATCCACACCTTACTTGCGGCGCTTTGTCCAATTCAATTTCTTAAACTGTTTTCTTTTCATATATGTTAATGTCAAAGGATTAAGTTGCGCATCAAAATATTTTAATTCATGTTATTCACTGTGAAAATGTTAATATGCCAGCACGCTACTCGAAAAGGTTTTTATTATTATTAAAAATATTAAAATCGTTTTAATAAATTTTAAACATGCTTTAAAAAAAATTATTTTGCAGAAACGATTAAACCCATCGTTCATGTAAATAAATAATTTGATGTCCAAGACTTCAGTTATAATTCGTGTTATTCTTTAGGTAGACAAAATTATAAGAACGATAAGTTATTTTGAGTTAATTTTATGGTGAAAAAATTGTTGAGAATTTTGATTCGGGACAAATTTCTAATGTAAGACCAGGTCTTTTAATTTAATTTTATGTTGACTAAATCTCAAATGAGTTGATCGAATTTAATTACAGGTTTGCGGTTAGCATTTCTTGGCAAGTAGCAACTAATTTTATAACTGTAATGAAAGTCACCAAATTGGTATAATTAGTCTTAGCTATGATGTTGAAATTTTCAATTACGAGTTGACAATGGCGTTTTCGGGGGCATGAACAATTGAACATACAGCTTACCAGATGATCACTGTGCGTGTAAAGCATAAACTATAACGTGATCACCAGAAGCATTGTATGAAATTAGTTGCTTTTATGATTTATCACGAGACGTGGCTCATTTTTTACATGTATGGATCATTAATTTTCTATAATCCAGACTTTATCTTATACATTCACGGGAGAACCAAGTTCCATTCTCAGTTTCACGAATTGCATATGATAGCTTAAATTTAAACATATGCTGGAGCTGGTGACTATTTTCCAAGGAATAAATCACTATTTCGTCTTAACTTTGTAAGTTTTTTAAGAGTTATCTCTAATTTAATAAAAAAAAAAACTATTTTAATATCTAAGTTGTTAAAAATTGTGTTGCGTTAGTCCTAGTAGACATTAACAATAGTTAATAAAAACATTCACATGCCACATTAAATATTAACTTACTCAATTTGGTCACCCTAAGAGGTTAGGTTAGACAATAAATACCAACAAAGACAAATAAGGAAGAAGATAACAAGATTTTCTAAGAAGAGATTAATTAATTTAAACTTATATTTTAACAATTAACTTTAAAGAGTTACCTAATATTTTTTTTGGGATGTGACATGTCATTTAATGAGTTGAGTTAAAACTTAACATATATATTAATAAATAAGTAATTTCATTAGTTATTATTACTGTTGATTGATTGATTGAAGGAATTATTGTAAAATATATATATATAAACAAGCTAAGAACATAAAAATGAAACTAAAAAGATATACAATTAATGCTATGAATACGAAAGGGGAGGTAGGGGGGATGTGATCGAATAACATTACAAAAAAGATAAGTCATCTTCGAGAGGACCAAGTCGCTGAGTCCATAGGCCAACGTAATAAACTCAAATTGGAAGCTGTGTTGGTGGGAATTGAATGCGAAGAATTGAATGTAATAAGCAATCCCACATGGGCACTTGACAGCGACTCAAGCGACGCGTTTTTCACAGCTTTGCTTGTTTCAAGAGTCTATGAAGTGCACCCAATCTTTCTGCAAGTGGTGGATCAATGATGCAACATCCTACAAATTTTATCCTGTAAATGTGTTCACTGCTGTCACATTATCCGACAATTTTAGTTTACATGTCAATTGCAATCCCAGACCAAAAGAAGAGAACCTTCCATAAACATTGAAATAAGTTGTTTTTAAGTCATAAAAAAATTATTCATTATATATATATATATATATATATATACATACAAACTGAGCCTGCGTAAAGATAGGTAATAAGTAAGACATCAACTCGGATACCCTGATCTTGCTTTGCTAATGTTATGCTTTTACAAATAAGAATATAATAACTTGAAGTTTCGTAAGACTTGATCCAAGAGCTGGTCCATGAGTGAAATTGCGAAGGCATCGACCTGAAAATTGAAACAACAACCAATTGTTTGAATTATTAACAACGTATAAATGAAAAATGAGAATGTAGAAGAAACATCAAATCCTGAAAAATGAAGAATCCAATCACTTTGGCCAACAATCCAAAGTTTTTAATTTCCTCATAAAATCATGCTTCACACAGAACGATTATGTAGAGCAGCAAATATGGGCATTATTTATCTATGATGGATTCGCTTGTTGTTGACTATGGTGATCCATCTTTGATGTTTATGCTTGAGTGAGAATAAGGTTAAATAAGGTTAAATGAATGTAGTATTTCTTAGAATTTTCTTTAATTCTTTATGTAATTTTCATTATGGAATGACTATTATGAAATTACTTTTTTTTCTCTTTGTGATCTTGAATTACATTGCTCTCATAACACAATATATGGTTCTCATACAATTAAGGGTTTAGAGAACACTAACCTGAATCTATTGTTCCTTGATGTTATCTCTCTCTTTGATGTCGTTGATTCCTTAGTATTTTCTCCAACTCTTCCTTCCTCTTTTAGCTCTTCTCGGATAGTTGAGAGAAAGTTTCTTTCTTGTGTTTACTGTGAGCACTGTCACATTAATTTATATGAAGGGAGAGAAGAGTGTTTCCTTATAACTGTATTTATAATTATACCCTCAATGACTCTATATTTTATATTTAACCACCATCACATTAAATCATTAATTAGAGTCATGCTATAAGTTACATAGGCCACTATAATAAGATTATTAAAATAATCTAACAATCTCCCACTTGGCCTATGTAATGACTTGAAGATTCAATAAACTGTAAGTGTGCATATCATTGATAATATCAAGTCACTATCTTTTAATGATTTAAGTTGATCGGATCATGGCGGTCATAAGTCATTTGATAACATGATTCCTTTCAAGTATTACAGAAACAACCCAAATCAAAACAGCTTTAATCAGTCATATTACAGACTGTAACTCTGATGTGTTTTTAACATTCAACCTATTATCAAACTCAAACCATATATATACATTAACATAATTCAGATAACAAGTAAACAAGCAGAAACAATATTTTTATTGAATTTCCAAAATGTCTACAAAATAATCTATACACATATATGTGAATCACACAATCATGCTAACAAGGACTTGTCTATAATGCCCATTCTACCAACATGGCCAGAAAACGTTTTAAAGGGTAATCCCTTAGTTAACTGATCTGCTATCATTAAATCAGTACCAATATACTCAATAGACACTTTCTGTTTCCGCACTTCTTCTTTCACTGATAAGTATTTTAAGTCCATATGCTTTGCTCCCTTTGAATACTTATCATTCTTAGAGAAGAAGACGGCTACGGAATTATCACAGTACATTCTTAGCGGCTTTTCTATATTATCAATAATATCAAGCTCTAAGACAAAGTTCCGCAGCCATAAAGCATGAATAGTGGCCTCAAAGCACATCACGAATTTCGCTTCCATGGTAGACGTAGCAATAATGGACTCCTTTCCACTCTTCCATGAAATCGCACCTTCAGCCAACAAGAAGATGTAGCCAAAGGTCGATTTCCTTAAGTCTACACATCCAGCATAGTCTGAATCCGAGTAGCTAACAACTTCCAGGTGACTATATCTCCTATGAGTAAGCATGTAGTCCTTGGTGCCTTGTAAATACCTAAGGACTTTCTTTGCAGCCTTCCAGTGGTCTATTCCAAGATTACTTTGATATCGGCCTAACATTCCAACAGAAAAACTGATATAAGGCCGAGTGCATGTTTAAGCATACATTAAACTCCTGACCACTAATGCATAGAGAATAGATTCCATTTCTTTCTACTCCAACTCATTCTTGGGACATTGCATTTCACTAAACTTGTCTCCCTTTTGAATTAGAACTACCCCTGATGAGCACTTTTCCATTTTGAATCTCTCTAATACTTTTTTTATGTAGCCTTTCTGAGACAATCCCAGTAATCCTTGTGATCTATTACAGAATATTTTTATTCCAATCACATAGGAAGCCTCACCCATATCTTTCATCTCAAAGTTCTTAGAGAGAAACTCCTTCGCATCATGCAACAGCCCAACATCATTAGTAGCAAGAAGAATGTCATCAACATACAGGACTAAGATGATGAACTTGCTCCCACTGACCTTTATATAGATACATCAGTCAACAGTGTTCTCAACAAAACCATATGACGTGATAGTATCATTGAACTTAAGATACCATTGTCTGAAAGCTTGTTTCAACCCATATATTGATTTCTTTAACTTACACACCATATTTTCTTTATCTGCGGTCAAGAAGCCATCTGACTGATCCATATAAACTTCCTCTTCCAAGTCACCATTCAGAAAGGTGGTCTTTACCTCCATTTGGTGAAACTCTAAGTCATAATAAGTCACCAAAGCCATAATAATTCTTAAAGAGTCCTTCTTTTAAACTGAAGAAAAGGTCTTTTTATAGTCTATGCCATCCTTTTGAGTGTATCCTTTAGCAACAAGTCTAGCCTTGTAACTCTCAATGTTGCCTTTTGAGTCATGTTTGGTCTTAAAGTCCCACTTGCAACCGACTTGTTTTGAACCTTCAGGCAACTCGACTAGATTCCATACCTTGTTGTCACTCATTGATTTTAACTCTTCTTTCATGGCATTCAACCACTTTTCAGAATTGTAACATTCCATGACTTGCTTAAATGAGACTAGATCCTTATCAATACTCAAGTCACATTTATGCTCAAGTGAGTAAACCACATAATCATTCGAAATAGCAGGTCTTTTCTGCCTTACAAACCTCCTTAATGTTATCTCTTGTGGTTCACCTTCCTCTTGTTCACTTGTGGCTTGCGCATTTTCAGCTGATTCATCCTCTATATGTTGTTCTTGTGGGTTTGGAACATTAACTTGTTGTCTCTTTATGTTGTGTGACCGTGATACAACAAGAGGAACAATAACTGGAAAAGAGACACCGACTACAAGAGTTTTCGCATGTGTCTCTTTAATTTTCACCTTTCGTATTT